CACTGGGCGTGAGGTGAGCCGTCTCAACGCCAAGTTCAACATCTACCATCGTTGCGGAAAGACTGTAGGTTTTTATTGAACGAAAAATTCGGGGATTTGCGAAAATATGGCTAGAAAACTCCGTAAAAATGACAAAATTCAGTTGCCCGTCTGCTACTACAAGTATTCATTCGCCGTCCCATCATCCTTCGTCAACTCTGGCACCTTCGCCAACAAGGTAAATCAAGCTCTCCTAATTTAGAAGATTTTACAGTGCTGAAATACGCAACTTACCATATCCTCTTTTTTCAGGTGTACAACGCCCAAACCATCGAGCTATCCCTGCTTGAGAAGCATCGCGATTGCCTCAACTAAACGTCTCTCCAAGCTTCTACTTTTTGTGCTATTTTCAGCAATTGATAGAGGCCATCTTGCCATGTCATTTACATCCCTTGGTGCTGACCTGCCATTCCATTCCATTTCATGCAATTAATCCGGAGTACAATAATCATACTAATAAACTGATTTCAGGTATCATGGTCGGCGTAATAATTCGCGGGTATCTCTGGAGGTGAACAGACAGACAAACAGCCAAGGAGGCCGATAGGGATCGTGCAGAGGAATGAAATGGCCCAGGTCAGGAGGATGGGCTTGAAATTTAGACTTTCGCACCCAGCAGCAAATAAAAAACTAATTAATTACGATTGATCCATCGTTAAGATTTACGATATACAATACCAGGTCGAAAAGCGACACGGAACCATTTTCTCCGACTTCCGCTTCTGGTCAGTTTACGATTTTTGAATTGCTGCTGATGGGTCAAAAGGCCCAGAGGCCATAGTCCTCCTCATTCCGTTTATCGGCCCTGGGGGCGACAGCCGACGCCTGTTTACATCTACGGTTCGGGCCCGTTTTCCTCGTTTTCCCCCCTTGCCGTATCGCCACGAAAAACGGCCACACAGTTTTTGATAAACTGTCGTCGGGCCTGGTGGCCAATTTTCTCGATTCTCGAGCCGGCAGGACAGTCATATGATCTCCTGTTTTGACTTTTATTTGGGAGTGGAAGTTTGATTATTTTGGTTGATTGATAGGCTTTTAAATAACAACATTACGGGTGAGCTGTCTTTTCAAACCCAACCCATCAATTCTTAAACCTGTTTTCCTCCCATATCATTGACGAAAGACCCATCGCTCAGTCAAAGTTCTGCTATTTTCCTAGAGCTTTCAATGATACCTTATACCTAGATTTCAGATGTCTCTCACAACCTTCGCTGTGATTTTCGCCGTCTTTTTGGCATACGCAACTGCTAATAAGCAGACGGTGGCCATTGAGGGGCGACTGACATGTGAAGGGAGACCCGCAGCCGGAGTCAAAGTCAAGCTCTACGATCACGACACTTGTAAGGGTTTTTTGGTCAGAAATCCAAAGAATTTTGTCTATTTGCTGATTACAGGCGAAGAATGACTACCTCTATCATTTCAGTCACCCTTGACGACAAACTGGCCGAGACCAAGACTGACCACGAGGGCTATTTCCGAGTAGGTCCCAAAAGAATACAATTTAGAAAGCTAAAACACAAAATGCCTCTGTAATTGCAGATTGCGGGTACGGGCAGCGAGGTGAGCCGCCTGAACGCCAAATTCAACATCTACCACAAGTGCGGCATGACGGTGCGTTACTGTAGTCGGCAACGCATTTTGTTTCGTTTCCAGGTTCCGCTTTGCGATTACAAGTTCTCATTCGCTGTCCCCTACGATTTTGTCAACACCGGAACCTATGCCAACAAGGTAGGACGAGCAGAAAATTACTTTATAAAATTTTTTCTTTTTACTTTTTTTAAAAAAAAAAAAATTTTCTAGAATCTTTGACTTGTTCGTAAAAATGTAAGAAAAATTACCAAACGTGCCTAGATTTTGCATTTTCAAAAATGTTAAAAATATTTTGGTACTTTGCAGCAAACAGAAACTACTAGAAACTTAAAAGATACACGATTTATTCTTAATGGACCGAAAAACAAAATCCCCCCTGCTAACAGACCAGTACCAAGGGGGTGGGATCAATCAACGCCGCCGCATTCTCAGTATTATTATTCCCGCAGAAAGGAGGTACGAAACTCTAACGTAAACAATAATAAACTATGCCCTATGAGGTCATGCTTTTCCCTTCCCGAATCTCTCAGCTTTCCCAAGTATGATATCAATTCAAACAACAGAACAGACGTTGAAAGCATACCCCCCCCCCCCCCCCAAAGCACGCGATACCCGATGACTCACCCGCACTTTTGACCCTGATTTTCATAATCGTCAGGGGAAACGCGGGGTATTTATGTGGAAAAACCGGCTCCACTGCTGACCAATTCATACTATCCACAGCTCCAATTTCCAGGTCTACAACGCGCAAACCATCGAACTGTCCCTGTTGGAGAAGCACCGTGACTGTATCAACTAAACGGAAAAGACCTTGACAATTTTCGGCTTACGAATTGTTTGTTCTGCTTCTATGCTTACTTCGCTTGACCCTTGATGGCTATATTTTTCACCTTCAACACCCGGATTCCTTGTCTAAATGCCGGTTCCTATCTTATCAAGTGCCTCCGCAACTCACCCTCTATCATTCGGATTCTTCTCCATAAGCCTCTTCTATAATCACCGACCCCGCATTCAACAATAAATTTTTTTCAGATAATATGTTGCGCTGTGTGGTGTTCCTCGCCCTGGCTACCGTAACTCTGGCCAGCTACCAGTCGGTTCGGGTGTACGGCACGCTGACGTGCAAGGGGCAGCCGTACGGAGGAGCCAAGATCAAGCTGTACGACCATGATACATGTGAGTTGACGCGAAAGGACGGATAGGGGTTAATTTGAATTGTCGAAAATCATAATTGAAAATTTGTACAAGCAACTCTCCCAGAAAAAGCCAGGATCCTATCCAAAAAATTTTATCATATTGAAATGTCGAGATTCTGGGATTTCGACATCATTAAATTTCGGCATTATAATAGCAAATCCACCTATAGAACTGCCATTTTTAGTCACCCTCGATGATAAATTGGCCGAAGTCCAATCGAATTCGGACGGTACCTTTGACATCGAGGGTGTCGGAAATGAGCGCACTCGGCTGAACGTCAAGCTGAACATCTACCATCGATGCGACAAAACGGTGCGTTAGAAAGGCTCGCCTCTGACTAGTAATCCATTCGTTCCAGATTCCGCTTTGCTACTACAAATACTCATTCCCGATCCCATACTCTTACATCAACTCGGGACCGCGAGCTCAGAACGTACGTATTTACCTGGCGTAACTATTTATAAAAACGCTCTTTAGCCCTACAACATCCAAACCCTCGAACTGTCCATGCTGGAGAAGAACCGCGACTGTTTCAACAAGAAATAATTCATCTAACTTTCTTTGACAGGAATAATCCTTTCCCCCAAAAAGCTATTGACTTTCCGCAGGTTTCCGTTTCGATACTCAACCCTTGAAAGTGCTCTTACTTTTTACTTTATTTGCTCCACACGCCAACTTATCAAACCTCATGCCATGTTTTCCATTCCGGTGCTCTTTTTTCGTGGATTGAATGAGATTTTATAAACAAAATAAATTTCAGATGATGCGAAGCGTGTTGGTGCTGTGTTTGTTGATTGGAGCTGTGGTCGGCGGCTATCAATCGGTTCGGGTGCTCGGAAAGTTGACGTGTAAAGGGAAGCCCTACGGAAATGCCAAGATTAAGCTGTACGATCATGACACGTGTAAGTTTAAAGTAGGGTACCCCCGCTCCTCGTCCTGTCAGTCTTATTTTGGTCTTCCTGCCCCCCCCCCCCTTCCCTTCCTTTAGAACGTTTAAAACCTCCGGCGTTTGGAAAATATAAAATCACTTTCTTCTAAGGTTCCGGTATTGTTAATAAGAATAGCGTCGTAATTATTTAATTTGTTAGACATTTTTATTATTCCTAAAATCGATAATTTTACAAATTTTTATTTAAAATACAAAAATATAGGCTTTTCGACCAAAATTCGCCTACAAGATATTTTCCCAGTATGTTTTTAATTTTTGTGATTATTTTTTGCTTGAATTTTACCAAAAACACTACTAAAATTTGCTATTACCTTACTACGCATTTATGGAACGATAGGAAAAGCTGGTGTGAAAGAACCAATTGAACTTTGGACTTTGAAATTTTGAAATTTGTAAGACATTTTCAATCCAACCCTCTATTAAACTACGAGACCGCTTGCTTACAGTCACGATGGACGACAAGCTGGCTGAGGTCCGTTCAAACGCCGACGGATCTTTCGAAATTGAGGGAATCGGTTCGGAGAGGACCCGGCTAAATGTCCAATTAAATATCTATCATCGATGCGATAAGACGGTACGGTAGTGGATACAAACTATATATCGGTAACTCTAGATTCCACTCTGCTATTACAAGGCGACGTTCCCAATCCCATACACCTATATCTCCACTGGCCCCCGGGCACAAAAGGTAAGCATTGTTAGCAGCTGTTCAAATATGGTATCCAAATTATATTAATGAAACCACGAAAAACACCTATTTCAGCCCTACGATGTACAAACAATCGAGCTGTCCATGCTGAAGAAGGAACGTGATTGCTTGAATTAACGCTAGGCAAGCAATAAAAGATCTTTTGCCCCCCTCGTACACAGGTATTCTGCCGCGTTTTCATTTATTAGAAGTCGATGTGATTTGGTTGTGCAATTATGTTGTAATAAACTTTGTGCTTTTTCAAAATTCATCAGATATTTCGGGATTTTATGTGGGCTGTCAAATTGCACCGATCGAAAAATTGAGCCATCGATGAGGCGGCGTATTTTGGCGGAATTGCTCATCAAAAACAACGCATTCAACCTTCAAATCCATTCAAAGAGATTGGCTAATATCTTGCAATGAAACGACCAGCTCTAATTTTTCTAATCTTGTCGATATCTTTGGCACAGCGCCACGAATATGAAGATGAACATGTGAGGGCAATTGGGAAGTTGACCTGCAATGGGGAACCCTATGAGGGTGCAAAAGTGCGGCTTTATGACGAGGACTTTGGTAGGTCTACAAGTTCAGCAAAGTCTATTTTGAAACAAATCAAGTCACCCCTAACGATCAACTTGCCGAAGTCATCACCGAAGAGTCCGGAACTTTTGACGTTGAGGCGACGACCAGCCAGTTGACCTGGCTGAACCCTGTGCTGACTATTCTACATCGCTGCAATCTTACCGTATCGTAGCGTATCGTTATCAAATCTTTTTTCTAGAAATACTATTATATCTGCTACTTGAAAGTGGAATTCCCGATCCCGACCAAGCATATTGGCAGGGGAAGAGGTGCAAAAGCTGAGGTATGTTGTTGTTTTTTAGCTCCTTTCCAAATTTTCGATTTAACCACCAATTAAATCTCAAGTAAGTAAGTAAATTTTAAGCAAATCATCAGCACAAGGTTAGAAAGTTACGGGAAACTTGATACTGAACTAGAAAAGCCTATGACGATTCTAACAATTTTCGAAAATTTTTGACTTTTTGATCAAAATCTAGGCCCCTAATCCAATCAAAATGCCCAAATTTTTCTATGAATTTTTAGTAAGCAAGGGGAACAAAATTAAACGTCCCCCTACTAACAGTCGAGTACTGATCACTCTACCATTTCAGCCCTATAACCTCGGCACCTTGGAGCTGAAAAACCGGGCCCGCGACCTATCCTGCATGAGCTTTTGGTTTTGAGCGCCAAATCTTGTGGAATTTCATACGCAATAAAAACCATTTATATACACAAACATAAACACGTAACGTTCGCTAAATCTACATGAAAAACATGGTGGCAAAGTACCGGCTAGGTGAATAGATTAGGTAGTCAGAGACGACATTCAATATTCCGGCCGGGCAAGCATTTTGCTGAAAATCGCCGAGCCTTGAAACAACTATATGCAGGCCCGGATCCGCGGGGAGTCTTGCCTGAAAAATGTGTATTTGTAAAATTAGCTTTAGCGACGCTTACCTCAATATTCACGTAGGGGGTCCGCCGCGAAAAACTTGTATTGTTTACGCATTTCCAGTTCTCATCCTGCGACAGCCGATTTCTGAAATTGTTGTCATCGTATTGTAACTTTTCATCGGGAGTGTTATGTCTGATTTCCCACCTTATTTTCTCCATCTGAGCTTTTGGGATGTCCACAATGATGGTGCCGGTGAAATTGACGCAACTCGGTCCCTCCAGCACCTGATTACAAACCATAACCCGCTTAGATACTGTCTTCACAAGCCAACTTTCTGTAATTACAACCCTTTCCGATTTTTGCCCCGCTCTCGCGAGGGGGCTCCAAAAATTAGAGTATACTCATAATTGTTCGTGTGCACGGAAATCTTTAGTAAAAGGCGAAAGATTTTCTCGGTCAAATGCACACGAACCAGAGGTATTTGGGGAACAGTGGAGGGGGGTATCTGGTGTGGGGGTGGGCCAGAGGGAGGTATAGTTGGGGAAGGGCAACAAGCAGACGGAGAACACACACACACAGCACCAGCCTTGACAGGGGGCCCCGTATTGAACAGGGGATGCGAAGAGAACGCGCACGCCCGCTGTTTGACTCCCGTAAAGGTGCGAGAGAATTTAATAAGTATTAAAATTTATACAGTTAAATTAGTGTTTGAATTGTTATCCGAATTTTGCGTTTTTGCCATAACTATTTTATTTTTCATTGTTTTAGGCTGAAATTAAAACTCGTAGTGTTATTTTCTTGCGCTCTATCGTATGGTGTTTAGGAAATTTTGTAAAATATGGAATAAGTCAATAACTAAGGAGATCGCATTTAAATCTGACTTTTGCTGTAACTATTTTATATCACCTTGTTTTTAACATTTAACTCGCTTATTAAAACCCTTATTATATTTCTTGATGTTCCACCTTTGAATCTTTAAAATTTAGAAAATAGCGAAAATATCGAAAGCTAGCTTTTTACCTCACATTTGGCGGTTTTTGTTTTTGCTATAACTTTTCAATATTACAATATTTTGCGCTCTACTAAAACTCTTACTAGGGAAGCCCGTATAACAAGTATCGTCGATTTCCCCCTTTTTCTTTTTTCCGATATTTTTGGGGTGGGGAGCTTTAAAAAAAAATTTAAATATATAAAAAAAATTTTTTTTTTTTTTTTAAAAAAAGGGAGAAAAAAAAAAAAAAAAAAGAAAAAAAATTTTCTAAATTAAAAAAAAAAATAAAATTTAAAAAAACCAAAATATTAAAAATAAAAAATTGGGGAAGGGGGGAAAGGATAAACGAGGAGGTTTTTCTATTTTTATATTTTTCCACCTATTCTCAATTGGGGGTGTATAGGAGATTCCCAAAATAGATATTTTTTTGATGCTACATCGAATGGCGTCGACAAAATCCCGATAAAATACAGAAAATGCTACCAACCTGCAATACCTCAATACATTCTTCGGTGGAAATTTTTCGTATCCGTATACTATTCGACGACGTTTTGTCGAAATCGATGGCTAGCGTAGAGGGTAGTGACAATATTTGCACGCCATGAACACCGGCGGATAGAACACCATGGTAGCGGGGCGGGTAAAGTTTTCTAGACATGGCAATAAAACGTGTAGGTTTATTTCGTTATGTACCTCGTTAGCCACCCCCTCAATAGCGTCGAAAATTCCTTGCACTCATCGCGAAAGCTGCTGGAACAATGGAATTTTCAAAGAGCAAGGTAGCTTACACAATTTTCGGGTCTTCCCAGGCGTAGAGCAGGGTTTTTACGTAGATTTTTGATAGGAATTTGATGAGGTTTGGCGTTGCCTGAATCCAAATACTGGTATTCTTTCAATTCCTAATTTTTTTCTTACAATTCCTGAGCAAAAGAACAAACCGGCAATTGATATTGAATTATCAACACGTCGATCTCGGCATTAATTATCCGCTGGTCCTCGCAAGCAATGTCGAAATTTAATAATTCTTTCTGCTTTCCCTTCGTCCGATAGACAATGAAGGTCTCAGGGTCAAAGCGCTTCTAAAAATCAATTAGGCTTTTACAAATACTCCGTCTACTAATGAAAACCTCACCAGTCCCACAAAGCAAGCGGCTATCTTCGGGAAGCCGAATTTGTCTCGATTTTTCGACACAATAGCATAGAATTTCCGTGACACCATGCGCACCACGCCCAGTACATCCCGTGGCGCCAATTCATTGAGAATTTTCAGCAATATTTCAGCGGGTAATCGCTCCATATGGCAAATATCTATTTTTATTTACGGTTGGTGCATGTGAGTGCAAGACGCGAAAGAAGGAAAGGGCAAAATCGAAGCACCACCCGGTCCATATGGCGCGCTCGTTTAAAAAATAAGAAAGGAAAAAATCGTTTCTTTGTGCAAAATTGCACCTTATAAATTCATTGTATGCAACGGGTATTCGATCATTCATACAAATAATTTATTAAAATGACAAGCCACAATATATATAAAATACAATGAATTTATTAAAATAAACCCAAACGACATGTGCTTAAGAATGAGAAGATTTGAAAATTAAGAATGGCTACTAAAAGTGGCCACCCTGCAAGAATGCGGCTCATATTGGCTGGCAGTCTGGGTGTTGATCGTTCTTTGTGTGCTCTCCGCCTGCCTTCTTCCCCTCTGCTTCTTTTATCTAGGCAATCACTATCCAGGAAGAAAGAAAAGCCACCAGCTGAAGTGAGGTGCAAAAGTCGCATCTTATAGATTAAGTTCAGATCAGCTAAAAAAAAGTCATGCTAACAAAAAACGTTTTTTAGTCTTCAATTTGGGGTTCCGCTTATCTTGCCAAAAATTTTGCGTTGATACCTAATATGCTTAACAAATTTTCTAAAAAGCTATTTTTGGAACTTCATGAAGTATTTAAATCAGGAAAGGGGAAAAGCCCTTTACTCCACCCCCCCCAGCCCGTGGGTCCCAAAAATTTGTCGGCATTTCCGCTATTTTGTCGGGATTTTCGCTCCGCCATTCGGTAGAGCATCAAAAAAATAGACTACGAGTCCTAAATGGCAGCCCAAACTAATGTGAAATAAACATTTGGCAACTTCCGGCGGGGGGCGGGGGGTAAAGTAGAGGCTTACCTCAGGAAAATCATAGAAAGTGGATCGTTTTGGGCGTTTCTCGATTTTAGGCCATTCATAACTTTCGAAAAATCGCGATTTCGCAAATTTGGCAAACCGATTCGGAAATCAGAAATCAGAAAAAGAGACTCATCATCAGTCACGGTCCCTTTAAAACTCACGCATTCCATCAACTGCTCTTCCAAAACTCTGCACCGCCCCAGGGTAGAATACAGCTGAAACGCTTTGACTAATTATTGCCGTGAAGCTCAACAGACCTTCTCATTTTCGGCCTCTAGCGCGGCGATTCGCTTCAGGGCTTCGGCCAACTTTGAGTCCTCATTTTCGGTGAGTTGTATCGTTTGGGTGTAGGCCACGCATCGGATGCCGTCAAAAACAGTGCAAGATTCTAGGGCAAGATCCTAAGCATACGCAAAAGCCTTACCTTGATACCGCACCGGCATTCTTTGAAATGGAGTACGCGTTTTGGTCGAAATCCCCGATGCGGTGGGCTTTTCGAAAAATTCACCCATCAATTCCTGCAAAGTGTTTTTTTTGTTTGTTCAGAGGGTGCTCGAGGTGTCGACGATCATTGCAACAGCGTGCCCAAAAACCAATGTTTAGCACTATTTTTGCAAATATTTTAATTGCTGGTAAGGGTCACTATCGTCAATTACTACCTCCACAAACGATACCTCATCACTGGCACCAGACAGGTCTTCTGGACCATGAGTAGGTGTGGAACGGCTTGCAGGCGTTCTCTAGACCATCGATAGGAACAATACTCGAGCTTACCAGCCTTTCCGACGTCCTATACGCTCTGTTCATCAGAATATTGCTCGAATACGACGAAGATCTTGTAGATGTCACAAAAGCTCCAATGGTCTCGCTCTTGCTCCTCTTAATCACCTCGCCGGAAATATCTAGCTGTGAACGAAAATTCTGACGAACCGATGAAAGTTACCAATTCTGACTGGCTCCTTTTAATACCAGCAGGGCTTGTCGAGCTTCCAGAACACGAGGCCATCTATGAAAATAGGCATATTTTAGAGAATGGACGATTTCGTGCCAGTTTGCGGCAAAAAAACGCTTTAAACTTTTTAAATCTGGCTCTGCTACAAATTCGGGAACCAGATTCGGAATTAGCGAAAAATTCTGCACAAGTTAGACTAATTGTAAGTCAGAATGGAATTTCCAGTCCAGTTGAAGATGACATTTTACAGCAAGAACATTTCGGTCGTACCATTGAAGGTCGCCATAAGTTCCGTTCAACTGACTAAAAACTGGAGCTGAACGGTCAGTTGGGGTGTGTTTGAGCAGAGAACACCCAACACGGCGCGTGTTATCTCGTGGACAGAAGAAAGGGTTTGGTCGCTCGTTGAAGTCGACCGCCTGTCCGGTGCTAAAAAGCGGACAGTCCGCAAGGTCGGTGCTGCTGTACGTGGCGGCGAGGGGTTGAAATGAGCTCGAAGTTTGAAGGAGGAGCATTAGTGCAATTAGATCAACACGCTCAAATTAGCAATTATATTTATTATAAAAGACCCGTCATTAATATTATATAAAGGATAACTTGATGCTTATGGGATGCCGCTATGCTTCTCGAGTATCGCCAATTTTCCCTTCATCTTTTCGTACTAAACCTTTGATTGGAGTATTGTGAGGTCCGTTACCTCTTCCCGCATAAGGTCCAGTTCAATCGATTTGTTCATGTACAGCCGCTGCATCTTCTCCAACTCGACGTTCGCGTTTTTGAGCTCGAGGCGCGACATCTTGAGTTCCCACGTTGCCTGGTCTAGTTGTCCTTGTAATGGCGATGGCTCGTCCAGTTTCTGAAATCAAGAACGTTTCACAGAAATGTTTAGACCGGAAATCTTAAATGTAGAAAAACGACCTGCTCGGGTTCTCGATCCTCTTGCGAAGGTGACGGTTCAGTCGGGCTATTAACTGATGTGCCTGTGGCATCTGAAAATTTTATCTTAACAGTTGTGTAAATTTCGTAAAAATATTGTAATTGTCGGAAATTAGCTTTTGAGAGTTCCAAAATTTTGGGGAAAAGTCCAAAATGCAGACACCCAAAACGCAGAATGCTAAAACGCAGACAGCCAAAACGCAGACAGCCAAAACGCAGACAGGACAAAACGCAGACAGCCAAAACGCAGACAGCCAAAAAGCAGACAGCCAAAAAGTAGACACTGAATATGCAGACACCGAATATGCAGACACCTGATTCACCTAATTCGACAACGATGACAACTTTCGCATATCTTCGCATCATCCCAAAATCTCAAATCCTCAAACATCCCAAAAATGAACTTCTCCTGTGCTTGTACCAGCAGTTGTATTTCGGATGGGAAGAATAAAGTGTTGAGTTATGAGATGGTTTTGGCTGTTTGCATATTCAATGGTGTCAGCATATTCATTGTCAGCATATTCAGTGTCTGCGTTTTGGCTGTCTGCGTTTTGGCTGTCTACGTTTTGGCTGTCTGCATTTTGGCCTGTCTGCATTTTGGCTGCCTGCGTTTTAGCATTCTGCGTTTTGGGTTTCTGCGTTTTGGCTGGAAATCTGGAAACCCTCAAGCTGGGAGGGGTAAAGTAAACCGTAGCCAAAAAGAACTTACAAAGAAGCGCCTCGGTGTTCGTATTTCCATCATCTAAGAAGTAATCATGGACATCCTCCTCAAAGCCTATTTCATCTTTGATATCCTTCCCAACATCTGGATATGCTAGGCCGGGATTCACGCTGATGTTCAACATCGATGTGGATGTTGATGGCAATTGGCATGTGAGCGGAATGTTCTCCCTGTTATGATCCTGACAAATCTTAAAGGAGAGCTGAAAAACGACTCAGAAGACTGGCTGAAGCTCAACTTACCCTTACATCTTTTCTGCCTGATATTCCGATTTTATCCGCGATGTCAGCATGTTTTTTGAAAAGATGCCGTCGGATTGAGCTTGTCGTCCCATTAACATATCGAAATTGTGCCCCGCAGAGCTGGCAAGTGGCCAATTGGTCGACCTTGGAAAAGAATTCCCACACGTCGGCGCGGGTGCGGCGCGACATTCTGGGTATCTAGGAATGGTATTTGCGACGAATTGGATAGCGGTCAAAGAGAGTGCCGAATAGAAAGGTTACGCTGGTAGCCATTTTAAGTCTGATCAACTTGAAATTATGAAGAGAGGTGCACAAGGGAATTGAAAATGCTTCAAGGAATTTTTTAGCCCGCTAGCTACCGTAATTTCTGAGCTATTGCACAAATACTGTTTTTCCAACATTTTGGAACCGAATTTTGCAAAGCCGAAATTCCTTCCGATAAAACAGGTGAGTGGCTTCATTTTCATCATATATTCCGAGGCCCAATTCCGGTGAAATTCCGGTTAATAACGTAAAAGACTGCAATAACTATTGCAATAAGTCAAAAAGCTAAGCTTTGTAGCTACGGATTGCAGATTTGAATCGATGGACCGGCCCGTATGGTGGGCTAATAGAGGGTGTGTTTGTGTGTGGATGCAGAAAGAGAGGGAAAGAGAGTCTCGGGCCGGACCGGGTTGCCTCGTATCGATTTTCGGGCTCGTAGTGCGGCATCCAGCCCGACCCGGGTCAACTGGGAGATCATCGCGCAATGCCAAATGGCTACCACCCCAGTGCTGGGCGCAATTTGACCTACAGTAGTATACTTCAGCCAAAATTTACATCTCACCGTTTTTCGGTACGTTATTTTTCGCCGTCTCTGAATTCGAGTGTCTCGATTGTCAAACTTGCCGTCCGGTAAACAAGTATTTATTCGGAATATGCTCTTCGAATCATTAAGAAAATTCGGGTGGGTTGAGAAATTTCTAAAGTTATAGCACTTTTATTGCGCATCGAAACCTGAGGATCATGGGGGAGGGGAGAGGGATGGCGAATTTTAATTGCTATTTTGAGGGTCCGATTAGGTGCTTTACAGAAAAAAGAAAAACTATGATGCTTACAGGAAAATCAATGCATAGAGGGCAAACGCGACAACAGAGGCAAGTCATGTGGAAAATTCAAACGACATCGGGGAGTTAAGGACAAAAACCGTGCGCTAAATCGCGCGGGAAAAAAGTTTTCCTAGCCTTCGACTCGAATCCCTCGTTTTATTGCGGCTTCTCGTTGGACAGGCGTCTCGAGCACCGTAGATGCTAAAAGCCAGGTAAAATTGGGGCAAAATGCATGTAGAGTCCACTTGGTGCAGCACAAAAACTTACAGCCAGCTGGTTCTGGGCTTCCATGGCAATTTTTTGCCAGTTGGCCGCCTGCTCTGAATGGTGGTCCCGGTCCTGAAAACTTTATGTGAGCCTAAGTTGAGCCCAAGCCCAACCTAAGCCTAAATGAGGCCTAAGCTTAATCGAAGCCTAGCCTAACCTGAGCCAAAGCCTAAATCGAGTCTAAGCCTAAGCTTAAGCCTAAGCCTAAACGAAGCCTAAGCCTAAACTAAGCCCAAGCCTAAGCCTGAACCCAAGCCTAAAACCCAAGCATACCCTTACCGTACCAGCCTTACCGGCCCATTTGAAGATTTGCACCGAATTAATAACCCACCTGCTTCATGGCAGTGTAGTTCCGGTGATTTTCTTCAGCCCTCTCCTGAAGATAATAAGCTTTTTGCGCATTTTGTAGGCGGACCCAAAGCCACGCCGTATAGTTTTCTCCATCCATCAAACCAAACCCACATTTGCCTTTTTTAATTGTTGCGTAAGGCGTTGGTACTGTGCATCCTGTTCACGATTTCTCTGAATCGCCTAAAATGGGATCAATCTGGTCCGTGAAGCTCTACCGATTCGTTGGTCCGAATTACTTCGAGCTGAACACGGCTGTCATTCCGGTAAAAATTCAGGATTAGTTCCTGCTGTCGCTGAAATTGTCAAGAATTGTATCAAGTTTTAAATGAACGAGCAAGCTTGTTGTTTCTGGAAAACTGAACCATGCGCCCGCTAAAAGCTCAATTCTATAACAAAACACTAACCATCGTTTTGCCCTCCAGTTGCTTATTCTGGCGCCGCAACTCATCCACTTCGGCGAATAATCTCTCAAATCGACTTTTACTTGATTTTATAAGCGAAAACTTTTTGGTATTTGATGCCCACCTTTCGTTCTTCAATCTCATCCGACGAGCTGTCCACTTCCTGAAACACGTCAAATTTATGTTTCAAAGGTCTGGTGTTACGGTGGTGACGCTGCCGCGACGCTTCAGGGGTGGGCAGTACTCGTGGCCGTCCATCTTTATCTAATCAACTTTGTTTGTAATGAATGTGTATAGTATCAAATAAATTTGTAGTGATATTATCGTGAATAATACTGAAACGACTCCGAATGATCGCGGGGATACGAAAAAATGCACCTGCTGTTCGGTGAGGTCCATCAGAATTAATTGGCAGGGATGTGTGCTGGATATCGGCAGCTCTAAAATCATTTATGCAAATTGGCAAATTCGATGTAATAAGCAATGATGTAGAATTTTAGGATTTACGGGTGCAGGGTAAGGCTACTTTCAAGATGTGGAAAATCATAATGGCGAAATCACGTCGACATTTCAAAACTTAAAAATTTATTATGTGCAAGTTGCAGAACGTCGAATTTCGGAGTATCGAATATATATAAATAAGCAAATCTCGGCCCTTGCTTGACCAAGGGAAATCAATATCAACAAATTCTCGCGCTATGGGCAAAACTGAATTTTCCCTTGTTCGGAACTTTCATACATTGATTCTTGCCCCTGGGGAATTGTTGCTATCGTAGATAGCAGCCAAAATCAAAGTAAAAATTATAGCCGTGCCCGAAACGCAAAAAGAAATCTTTGGGATTGTCAGTGTGAGTGGAATTGTTTTTAATACAGCGCCCCGCGGCTCGCTTGCTTTTTTATGCACAACGGCGCAGGTGTCCGGCGAAAGATCCGATAAAAACAGGGGACGGTTGAGGGGGATGGTTATTGGATTCTACACACAAAATTAAAACCATACATCTGATAAAAGTGGTAGCTTGAGCGGGTAGCTAGTAGATCCAGAGCCAAAGATCATAAAAATAAAGATATGCGTAGTCCAAAACTGAGCCCAGGCATCAAAAGGTGCATGGATACGTTACACCTTAAAAGTACCAATCGCCCAACCAAAAAAATATTTATAAAACAAATTCCGGACGCGTGACCGGAAATTGGCCGGGTATTAGTTGTACAAAGATGTGTCGGAGAATGGCCCAAAAAGGGGGAGGGCGGCTTGGCCGCCGTGGGGCACTGTACTCTTTTGACTCTTTCCACTCTCCAGCCTCACCCCACTACATCGCAACATAATTTCTTTACTAGATACAAAAAGCCCCCACCCCGGCGGTGCCTCGCGGAATTTATTTCTCGATCTCCGGGGATTTGTAAAGCCGCCGAAAAATCAGGGAGAGCAAAAACGCTATTAAGCAGCGTCGCAACAGATGGGGATCATCAGTCCCTGGGGGTCATGTTATATGTAGGGATTAGCTGGACGTT